AACACAAGTGAGCAGCCGTCAGCGTGCGAGCGCGATATGCGAAGCCGCGAGCCGCAAGTAGCGCGGGCGTCGGAAGACGAGCGAAGAGAGAGACTGCAATGGTTACAGAGTAATACTATGGGTTGGTCTACGAAGTCATGACGCACATCTGTCAGTAACTTTTATAAGTGACATGAAGCGCATTGTTGTAAAGTTTGTCTCTTACTGTTCGACTCTTATGGTCTGCGACTTCGCTCATCTTCCGATGCCCGCGCTACTCGCGGCTCGAGGCTTCGCCGCTCGCCACTCGCATGTCACGCTCGCAGTCACGCTCACTTGTTTTGCGTTCTTCCCCACGGGAGTTCCGAGCAAAAGAGAGACTGCTCCCAATATAGGAAACAAACATTGGCCATTGGCTCATGTTTCCACAGCATTTCCCCTTCTGCCAAACCTCTACTCGTGTTTCTACATAGACACGTGTGAAATCAGTGTTCTCCTTCTTTTTCTAAATACAGAGCGTTCTTCGCTTTAATTTCCAGTGTAATAGGAATATTTCTTTTCTAGTGCAAAACGTTTCCATTGCCCCAGAAAATCGGTGTAGGGGAATTATCTTTGTTTCCAATATTTCCCGCGTTAGGATGCAGAAGCATACGCCATAGAGTTTTAAATCAAACTACAAAATAACAGTTCTGAATATTGAAAGGCCAGGACATGGTACAAACTGTCCCAAGTAATTTGAGCCCGATACATTGAATATTTGCTGTGCGACGCGGGTTCAAAAATTTTCCAAAAAAACATACCGGCCATTAGCGCTTTTGCCACCCGGAAATTTCGCAGTTTTTAAAAGCTAATATTTATTTCAATATCACACCCAAAGAGCCAAACATGTCAACAATTACCAAGTTTCACACGCTCTTTAAATGTCAGAGATCATGATGTCTTCACTGCATGTTAATAAGGAAAAATCTAAACCATGACCTTAGCAGCGATAGCAGCGATCGCTCTATAGCCGCCGTGAATATGTCCCAGAATACCAA